CACTTAAATGCATCCACGTACGAGGGAGGAAAGAATTTAACAGTGCACAGCAACATTACAGTTTAGAACAGAAAGTGAATGATGATTTTATATTAAAAAGAAAGAAACTTTCTTGTTTCAACTGTAGGGGGGAATTAAGCTATGCTGAAGGTTATTATCCAAGTTGAAAATTGGCCAGGATGTGTAGCATTTATTATCCCATCTCTTATATACAGTGCCATTGGATGTTTAATGATCACAATTGATCAGGCCTGCACATTTATATTTTATTCAAAAGCCTGTACTACTTAACTCATTAAGATAAATGTGAAATAATCCAAACTTTTCTCTGCAGCCTGAAGGGGGCAAGTTTTTTTTTTCATGTTTATTCATTTTTTTTTTTACTTCAAGAAGAAAAATGCGTAAAGAACAATATGGGAACTGCTGCCTGTGAAATTTTAGACTGTCTCCATGAGGGCTAGCTTATGGAGCGTGAGAAGCCTAGGACTGAATTTTTTCATACACCTCTACCCCGATATAACGCTGTCCTCGGGAGCAAAAAAAATCTTACCACGTTATATCAAACTTGCTTTGATCTGTCCCCGCCCCCCGGAGCGCTGTTTTACCGCATTATATCCGAATTTGTGTTATATCGGGTCGCGTTATATCGGGGTAGAGGTGTACTTAGAAGCATCAAGAAAAAAACGTAGACAAAACTTTCACCACTCAAACAAGACTTAAGATATAGGTAAATTAGACACGTGTTAGGCACATTCAAATTAGACAACTTTTGCAAGTCCTCCTTGAAACACATTCAGAAACTTATGACATCTTAAAATTAACTTATTTGTTTTTGTATGACCAGAAATTGAATATTAACACATCTTGCAAACACTTAGTGATCATCATTCATTACAGTTTGTAGTTATGTGGACATGGAGGCAGAGGTGAGACTTTTAATGAAGAGTAACCCCTTCAGTCAGTTAAGCATTGTTTTATAGTTTGAGAAAGAATTCTATCTAAATCTCCTATTTGGGAAAGGATGTTTAACTACAACAAAGGGGATAGGGATGTGGGGAGACAGGTCACACTTCACCCATGAAGCTTCCGCCCTCCTCCCCCATTGACTTAGAGAAAGTAGGACTTAATAAAAGCCACTTGTTGAGTTCAAACGGATATAAAAGGGGAGGCTGCATGGGGAACAATTTTTTCTCAGTGTATTTTTTTAATGTCAATATTATCAACTAGCTTCAGGAATTTTAAAATTAACTATACTCAAATCATTGACTTCATAATATGTATACTATTTTGTCTTCACGGTCTGGCACTTGGATGCCATATAAGCATCCTATAAATGGATTAAATTAGAATACTTTTTCTGGATTGTAGATATTTACTGTAGTTATTGGTCTGTGGCCAAGTCTGAAAAAGACGCTAATTTAAATGATTGTAAGGAAATTTGGCAGAGGCTTAGAGATGCAGTTAGACCAGACACATTGGAATTACTTATGTAGGATATTAAAAGGTTATCTTTAGAGTTGAGACACTGACTCACTCAGGGGAAAATCATCCACTGGATATTCTGTAAATCAAAAGGTTAGCAGCTGGTGTGAAGATCCACTGAAAACCATGAAATCGGGTCAACCTAGAAAAGCCCATATTGCATGGGTACATAATGTAATTGTTCTGAAGTCTGTCCAGTAATAAAATTTTCTTCATTAGCTTTATACTAATATTTTCAGCTTTATCATTCTAGCTCACTTTTTAAGGGTGGATCTAAAAAAAAATGACCATGTTTCTCCATATTGAGCAAGTATCATAAAATAGTTTTTCAAGATTTTTACTAGAAAGGAAGTAAACTTCGAGTTGGCTGGAATTAGAAAAAACTGCATATCTACATCAGCAGAGAGAATCTTGGATGGTCATATCCTCAAGAATAGGAACATTTAAGGAACCTTTCAGTTTAGGGTTTGTCTTCATTACAGTGCTAGCCTGAGGTATAAAAAAAGCGTTGATTCCTGTCCACACATCAAAACCTCTGGTTAAGGTGCTGCTTTAACCTTGAGCTAGCTGGCCTGTCAGAAGGTGTTGGTTGAAGTTCAAGTGCTATTGATGCTTAGGCTAGTTATGAAATGGGGATACAACTACTTTGTGCTGCTAATCCAATAGTGTGCAGCTTGAGTGCTTTGCAGTGTGACCATTCTCACTTGAACTAAGCTAATTCAAGAGGAGTTAGCTCAAGTGTAGATAACTAGAGTTAACTCTTCAATGGAGATATGCCCTTAGATACAGGAGAACCTCAAATATATGACCACCAGAGTTCTGGACTTACCGGTCAACTGGACACCCTCTGAACCAGAAGTAATCGGGTAGCAGTGGAGATGCACGCACGCCCACACCCACACACATGCATGCAAATACTTTACTGCCTTGGAGATTTAACCCTGGGGCTCAGGGCTTCAGCTGGGGGGAAGGGAGGGTTAGGACTGCAGCCTTAGGGTGAAGAGGTGCGGGGATGTCAGGGCTTCTGACTCTTGGGAGCACCAGGGCGCAGGGCTTTAGATCTGGAGGGAGCGCTGGGGCTCGGGGATTCAGCCCTGTGGCTCTGTTCCCAGCTTCTCAGCCCCGTGGGGAGCTCGGGGCTTTAGCTATGACGGGAACACTGGTTTCAGCCAAGCGCTTCCTCCCGTAGCTAAAGCCCTGAGCCCTGCACCCCATCCCACCCCAGATCAAAAGCCCTGAGCCCTGGTGCTCCTGAGGGTCAGAAGCCCTGACCCCAACCTGCGGCTGCAGCCCCAACCCCCTCTCCCCAGTGGCTGAAGTCCATAATGTCTCGTTCGGAGTTACAGACATTTCGGGGTTGCGGACAACCTCCATTCCTGAGGTGTCTGTGACTCTGAGGTTCTACTGTACTAACAATAGTTATTCTGCCCTTGACAAGTTTTTATTCATTCTGAAGCCTTTTGCTAGCCAGGCTAAACCTCATGGGATACATATCTTATTTTTAGGTTCTTACCAAATTCATGGCCATGAAAAACATGTCACAGACCGTGAAATTAGACCTCCCCTGTGAAATCTAGCTGTTGGAGGGGTAGGGGAGGGGCAGAGCTGGGGGTGTCAGCCAGGGTCTCCTTTGTTTCACTGGGCTCCAGCTGCTATCCGCCAGGCTGGGGAGGGATGGGACTTCCTCTTCTCCTGCACGGCTGCTCTTGGGGGGAGATCAGACCCACCTCTGGGTACCTCCCCGGCTGCAGGAAGCTCTGTGGCTGCTACCAGCTCTGAAGGCTCCCAGCAGCACAGGGGAGATCAGACCCACCTTCACCTCTGGAAATCTCCCCCAGATTCAGGAAGCTCTGCAGCTCTGAAGGCAGCACAAAAGTGAGGGTGGTAATCCCCCAACCTCCCTACATTAGTTTTGTGACCCCCATGAACCCCTTTTGGGTCGGGACTCCCAGGGTTACAACACTGAAATTTCAGATGTAAACATCTGAAAACGTGAAATTGATCAAAATGGACTGCGAATTTGGGCCCCACTTATTTTCATGTGGATCTAAGGGATACAGTGCTTAAACGTTCCTCTAGCATACCATTTTACTCATAAAAGGTAGTGTGGAGGATTATTCCTGAACAAGAGCTATCAGCGAAGACAAGTAATCTTGATAGTTAGCACCCGTAAGCTCAATCAATGGCACTGGATAGAAATACGAAATATTGTTCTAAATAAGATGGGGTCATTTAATACAGTAGTGGAAGATTTGTTCCTGAAACACCAGTATCCTGGCACTAATACTGTGTATGAAGTGACCTGATGAAGGGTTAAAAAAAAAAAAATAAATAAACCCTTCCTTCACAGCTAGTGCTAAACCATTTGTAGCTACCCCACACTAGGTGAAGTTAAAGCCAACGTTTGCAAAATAAGCAGTAATTTTGCAAAAAAACCCAACAACTACTTCAGTATGGATTGACCTTTGGTATCACCACAACTGCTTGATCTCTCTTCTAGTGAATGCTTACCTATTTAGTGAATACATTTGTAATCTAGGTCAATCTGGAAAAGACATGTAATACTTCCCAAAACATGGAATGTTACTTTCAAGACAGGCCAACTCTAACCAATTGACTGTTATCTGTATCTGCATTGTTAAAACAAATAAGCAAACAAAAAAGTTGACTAGGTGATGAGTTGCAAACTGAAGAGTTGAAGCTTTAAATTCTATTCCAGATGTCTGGTTTTATGTTTATTCTGAAGGACAGATTTAGATGATTTTTAAATGTGTATACTAAAACTTGTTTACCATGGACACTCAGGTATGAGTTGCTGAGTAACTTCTGTAGTTGTTCCTCCTTTAGGCTGACAGATATCAAAAAATAATTGTTAATGGATAATTATCATTGAATGGTGGGCTGTTTCCAGTAATGTTCCACAGAGATTGGTTCTAGTTACAGTGCTATTCAATATTTTCTTCGGTGATCTGGAAGATAAAATCACTTCTGATAAAAAATTAGTGGATGACTAGACACATTGGCCAAGTGGTTAGTAATTCTGAGAACAGGATAGTCACACAGGAGTAATCCGAATCACCTGCTGGGTGGGGCCAATTCAAACAGAATATGTTTTAATACAATATTCAACATGATATGCTTTATTATTAAATGGTCTTTAGACACGCAGATCTTATAAAATAAAAGGCTATTATAGCTAAGTTTAAAACTTAATTTTCTTTATCTGAACCTCCTTGTTCATGTTTTATGTGCAGAACAAAAGTTAGTTAAATTGTACTTTAAAAAAACACATCTATATAGTGATTCTATGTACAGTTTTTGGACCTGATTCTGCAAAGAGATCCCAGTGGGCAGGTACTTAAGCCCATGTGAAGTCTTACTGATTTAAAATGACTCTTTGGGGATGCAAGGATTCCTACTCCTACATTACTTTACAGGATTGGAGTCAAACGTGATATATTGATTGTTAGCGTTTAATAATAATGCTGTATAACAATATCTTTTCAAATTATTTTTAGTGGTACATGATCAGCATTGTGCACATCTACAATCGTTGGAGAAACAGTGAAATTCGGTGTTACGTTAATGGTCAACTGGTATCCTATGGTGATATGGCTTGGCATGTTAACACGAACGATGTAAGAGATTTTTCTTTCCTTTTCTTTAGTTACTGTTTTCTATCCTCTTAAGTGCATGCATAGAACCATAATTCATTTGTACATTCCTATTTGGTTAAAAAATAGGATTGTATAAATAACAGGCATGTTTATTTCCTTAAAATGTTTTTTTAAATTTTTTAAAAAGAAAAAAATCAAGAATTGGGTTTATACTCTAATTATTCCTTTTTTAGTTCTATATTTTAACAGAAATCATCTCTCTGGGGTTAGATTTATTTCTTATCTTTATTAGCATATAAGCTCTTATGTTGAGACTATTTTGTAGAGATATTAATATGAAATTCACAAACTTCAATGTGTTTTCAGATTATAGAAAATATTTTAATGTATTATAATATATACAGACCCTGGATAACACAATGGATTGGAAGTTATCTTTTTTACCTGTGGGACATTAATTTTATAATATAGGTTTTTCCTGAAATAGCTAAAATTCAGTCTAAACATTATAGCTGAATAACAGAAAATCTTGAGTCTAATTCAGCCAAGTTACCACACACGTCTCATAATAAAAATTAGTTCACTTGTGTTGCATATCTGGAGTTCTTGTACTATGTTCAGTCCAGATTGAAATGTTTTTAATAAATTTTAAAGATTAAATATCCCCAGTTGAGAGGTGGAAAACGGAGGCAAAGAGAAATTAAATTACGTGCCTTTAGTCATGTTGCGATGTGTGTGGCAGGTCCAGGAACTCAGATCTTTGTATTCTGAATCCTGTTTCTTAATAACAAGATTGTCCTTCATGCCTCGTATCAGTTGGCGTGATGTTAATGAAGTGCCAATTGTGGCACCACAGTTAAACATGTTTTTTGTGTTAAAGCAGGGATTCAATCTTTTTGTTGTGTATGTAAAATGCAACATATTCTCCACAAAATTACAGCACTACCTTTTGGTTGCTGAATGAAATAAATGAAAATTCATAAATAAATCTGTTAATTGTTTTGAGTTAAGATCAATTTTAAAACAGGTCTTTTAAATAATATAGCAACATGTTTCATCCCCATCTCAATGGGAGGTGTGGTCGATTGGACTGCCTCAATGAGACACAGCATGTGGAGGTGAGAGTGCATGCTTGGTGAAGCAGCAGCCAGGCCCCTTCTCCTGATGTCCTCCACCTCCTATTGGCTGGGCTGTTTGGTTCTCATGCGCCCCTTCACCTCATCCTGATCTATTTAAACTCATCATAGGGTTTTCAAAGGTCTCTTGCTGTTTTCAGCAGTCCCTTCCTCATTCCCCTTAATTGTAGAACAAGAGCTGTGTTCTTCAGGAAGCTGCGGTCTGATTCACTGCCTGTTTGGTCCATTGGGCCAAATTGGCCCAGTTCTGCTGATATTTTTTGACTTTCTCACAAAGTCATGGGGGCACGGTTGGGTTGAAAGGAAATAGCTTTGATAGTTTACGATTAGGAAAGGTAAGACTGTTTATTTAGCTCATTGCAATTTGTGGCTGGTGTTCAGTGAGGACCAAAACTACAAGGGCCAGCTCCCAGGGGTAAATGAAAGCTGGGATTTTGTAGGTGGACCGTGTTCCTCTAGGAAAAGGGGGTACATGAAATATTTGTGAACTGCAGTTCTCTTCCCCCTCCTCCCACGTCTCATGGAAGGTCTATTACGAGTTCTTGATTATATGATGGGATCTGGTAACCCCACTCTGAACCCAGTTAAATGCCAGGTATGTGAGAGTGGGGATGGTCATATAGTGATCTCTCCCATGTGGTGGTAAATTTGAGGCCTGCCACTTAAATCCATCCCTGTGTCTGTCATTCATTTGCCCGTTTAGTCTGATTGCTTGTAGTGTAGACGTAACCTATTTGGCAATCAAAGGATGATATTCCCCTATTTGTGTACACATGCTTGTGCTTGCTTGATGAGAGCTTGTATGAGTATAAATAGAAGTGTAGCCACGGTAGCACAGGGTAGTGACAGTGGAGACATGGCTGAGTTGTGCGGAGTACATACCCACCTGAAACCAGTGGGTATGTGTTCAGCATGACTATCCCATGCCTCCTTTGCCACTCCCGGTGCTACCACAGCTATGCTGCTATTTATACTGACTCTAGCTCTCATCAAGCATTGCTTAATACGCAGCAATTATACTAGATTTCATTGTAAACATGTCTAAGTTTATTTAACAAAGTATAAATATTCAACTAGAAGTACTGGAAACAAATGGTTACATATATAGTAAAAACATAACATGCATTCTAGAGTATTCCTCACCCAAAATCCATGCAGGGCTTTTGAGTCAGCCTGGCTGTGATCCAACTTTCATGAGCCAACATGCTGTCAGTTTGCCTCCGAGATGAAGAATTGTGTCTCTCTCATTGCACCCCAAGTCAAACCACATCAATCCTTTGTCTTTATTCATAATCAGGACACCCCAACTATTGGTTTCTTCCTGTAGATTTCCTCCCTTGTAGATTTCACAATCTTTTAAATTGTATCTGACTCAGTATGCAAATTAGGTATAGCTTGTAAGGCTTACAATACACAAATGGCCGAACAGGGAGATAGGAATCAGTTACCTCCTGGTAAGCTGCCTTAACTCCAAGACCTTAAGAACATAATTTTCAGTATGGATACATAACTCCTTAAATATTATCTGTACCTATGTTTTGCAATGATTATGACAACCAGTGAGCTACTGGTTCTCAGTAGAGATCTCACATGCAACCCTTTGGTGACCTATTATGCAGATATCTGACTGGGTTTCCTGTAAAACCCTATGCACCCCTGGTGCTCTCTGCCAGTTGGCACGAAGGGGTCCCTGGGTCACATCAACCCTTTCAACCACTGCAGTCTTCTTTCTTTGAGAGACAACCTGATATATCCAACATGATTAAGCCATTATGGTCTTAAGCGTTATGGTCTGAGGCTTTTCTACATATAAATATGTTGGAACTTGGAGCAATTCACATGGCCCATATATTCTTTCTTTATCTAATCCAGGGCAGAGTTATTCAAGTCATGACAGACAATTCCTCTGCTATATTTTACATTAAAAAAAAAAAAAAAACCAAGGAGAGGCAAGATTAACACCCTTATGTCAAAAAGTGCAAATTCTTTGAAAGTGGTGTATACAATATAAAGTGTCTCTGAAAGCAGCTCATCTGCTAGGTCTTCTAAATATTCGTACAGACCTAAACTAAGCAGAAAGTTTCCATCAGATCATGAATAGACTTTTAAGAGAACTGTGGCTTGTTTAATATTGCACAAATGGAAATGATAGGGTTACCATATCTATTAAATAAAAAAAGAGGACCCTCCACGGGCCCTGACCCCGCCCATTTACCCAACCCCCAGCCCCGCCCCAACTCCGCCCCCTCCTCCCTCCCACTCCCAGCCATGGGGAAAGGGCTGCCGGAGCGCTACCGGCTTCACAGTTTGCCGGGCAGCCCCCAGACCCTGCGCCCCCGGCCAGCGCTTGCCCAGCGCAGCTGGAGCCTGGGAGGGGAAGCGCCCAGCTGGGGGCGCAGGGTCTGGAGACTGCCCGGCAAACCGTGAAGCCGGTAGCGCTTGGGCTTCAGGCAGCCCCCATGCCTCCGGATCCTGCGCCCCCAGCCGGGCACTTCCCCTCCCGGGCTCCGGCGGCGCAGGGTCCGGAGGCATGGGGGCTGCCTGAAGCCCATAGCG